AAATTGACTGAATAAAAAGGGGGTGCTCCTGAGACCGAAAGGTAGTTAAAGATCTACATAATACTGAGATTGCCAGTAAATCCCCATCAGGTGCCAGTCATCTTGATGAATTGGAATAACGCGGAGTGCAGGAACCTGGACCCAGGGACAAAACGATGCAAATAGTATCATCTACCCTAACATATTGAAGTGCATAAGGCTCCTTAGGTATATAATCATTAATACTGTCCCCCTCCGGATAAGATATATGGTAAATGGTGTGCCAATCTGAGGAATGTTTTTTAGGGATCACGCCCAATGGATGGCACTGCATTTGTGATAGGAGAGGGGAAGGGAAAGGCCCGGCGACCCGGCCCAACGAGATCTGCTTGGTAAGGTTAGAAGAGACCACCTCAGGGTGCTGAACCGCGGAGATTAAGTTACGGGAGACTCGATATTTTTCCGGACCAGTGTACCCAACGTGTGTGCCAAAGAGTAACGCGTTCATTTAACTATTANTACTGGCGGGGCAGGTGAAGAGAGAGTGGTTGGCGGAACGTCAGCGGCGGCACAGGTACGGGAAGGGACAGGAACGTGCGATACAGCCACTTGATCGGTTGAACTTGAAGTACACGGGTCCTTTAGGCTGGAGACGCGAGTGGTCGGCTGACGGAAAATCACTCTGTTTGGGGTATGGGCCAGTAAGATTTTGTCTTCCAAACTCCTGTCTAACGGACGATGCAAGACCAGAGGAGTTGCTGTTCCGGCTCGCCAAGGCTGTGTGCCACTGTAAGGAGGTGTGGCGCCCATGAAAGGGAGATTCCCTGAGATGGAAAAACTCTTAAGCGCGTGATCCACAGAGGATTGCACCGTGCTCTCTATGGTGGCTAGCTGAGCAGGGGTAAAGGAATTTCCTGTGTTATGCGTTGCCTCCTCGAAGTCCTCCACCAAAGGATCATCAAGGTCGGAGTAGGTCTCCATTGGCTCTTCCTCGGAGTCCTCACCCGATAAAACAGCCTTAGGGGCTTGAACGGTCGCAGGTTCCGGCTGCTCATGGTGTGCAGATGTGGCTCGCCTTGTGGAACGGGTACTGGTGTTAGCTCTAGCTAAAGCTTGCGTTTTGGATGGCCGAGATGTAATACCTTTCCGAGGATGTGTCGCGGCTTTGAACAGGCGGACTAAAACAGCTTTGCTTCCAGTAATGGGAAGATTTAGCGCCTGTAAGCGGAGGCGAAGGACCTCTTCAGAAAGGGACGTGAGGTTCTCAGAACCACGAGATTTGCGAGGCTTCGACGACGCACGTGCACGAGCCATCAAAAAGTGACAATATTCACTAGTAAACTGTTCAGTAAGCAAGACAGCTAAGCGAATGATGAATTTTGCTTAAAATAACCTTTTTATATCTAGACATACGTCTAAAGCTAAGCCAATGGACGATGGCGTGCAATAGTGTTGCAGGGACACACGGTGCGTACAACGAGACATGAATAGAGGTATTTATTGAATCTAGCCGAACAGAACGAATGTTACAAACGTACTAGACAGTGTTGCATTCATGTCTCGTTGCATGGCACGAGTTGCTCCGCTCATAACAATAACAATTCCCCGGGAGCTCTAACGCGTCACGCTCCATTAACTGCTATTTACTGTTCCACCGTAAATCTTTATTTAAGGGAAAGTCTTGCTTCGTGGTTCGTTTTATTTGAAACTCGAAGCCAGCTTAAAAAACAAACACAAAGAAAACAAGGTTTACCGAAATATTTTGGTCACACTACTTGCTGACTTGAATAAAAAGCGCTGCTTTGTACATGTTTTATTGAAGTTTTGTTCATGTTTTGATCGTCCGTAACGATTTGTACTGCATGGTTAGGTGGAGCTCTTTCTCTTTTTTTTTCCCTTTTCGTGGAGTAAGTGCCAGAGTGTCGCGTGAACGGGACTGTGTTATTTGCGCCTGGGGTTTACACATTCTTCATCCTCAGGGACAGAAAGCAAATAAGAGTTGTCGCTTATTCTACAGAAAGAGTCTTTCAATTATCTTATCTAAAATAAATCAGGGGCACCCAACGTCAATTTTCGGAAAATATCTGTTCGGAAGACGATTTGAGATCTAGAATTTTCGGAACATTTGTTGTAAAATGTCTTGCTTGCCTGCCTCTCCTAGGATTTTCGAACATCCAAAAAATGGTATAATTGCCCATTTTTAACGTATTTTTACGCTAAAAAGGTCAGCTAGAATTTTCGGGAGCCTTTTTTCTGGCTGAAATTTTCGAAAAGGTAAGTTTTGATCCCTATAATTTTCGGATCACTAGACTTTTAGCTAGGAAATCCGAACAGATGAAACATTTTTAGGGGCTAAAACTATGCCTATATCTACCGTTTAAATACTAAAATTCGTATTATCACTATGTTTAAGTGGTTTTGATTATATTCTCGTTGGATGCCCCTAATAAACTGTTGTAACGTTTATAATTTATAGTTTAGTGCACATTTAGCCGTGAATACACAACACCCGCTGTTCAGTTTGTGTAGACTACAAAATAAGTTATTCATAGGATAAAATGATACCGTCCTAGGTCTTTTCTCCAGAAGAAACAAACGTCATGACTTTCAGTAACGATTACTATCAGATATTTGTGATGTATAATTTAAAGGGTAATTTGCACTTGACGGTTTAAAGGTCCGATTTTGCAAGGAAAACATACGGCAAACACGAAAACCAGCCCGATTTAGCATTTAGATAGATTCCTTTAAGTTTGTTGCAGGCAAAGATTTTGTGAACAAAACCAGATTGAATAAAACGTGAAATTTGGAGGCTAATCATGATCAATAGCTTCTCAAAAGGGTGTGATTGTGGTGGGGTGGGGGGCTCGGTGATGCGGTCTATATGACAAGAATGGTTTTCCAAATATAAAGTAGAATAAGAATAGAATCATTCTTTATTTAAACACGGTAAAATTCATCAGGAATATAAAAAAATTGAAATAAACCTAACTACCCTAAACAATATGCAAAACTGTCGACAAGTAACCTAACAAAGACCTGTTTTTCATGAATGCCGTGTACACAGCACTTTAAAAATCAGATATTTAGATGAGCCAATCGTTTAAATTGACTTAAAGATTGAGCCTCTCTCATATCACAGGGTGGACTGTTCCAAAGAACTGCTCCGCTATAACTGAATCTGTTCTTCATGAAGTTAGTTCGCGGGAACGGGACAATTACTTCCCTAAAGGAGTATCGCGTTTCATATCGTTTAACAAATGTAGGGGATAAATATCCTGGAACAAGATCGTTTAAAGGCTTGTGAACCATTAGGGCTTTTTGCTTTTGAAACTGAGTGCTCAAGTCTTTCCAATTTAGTTGTCTAAATAAGCGGTTGGCATCAGCGTCATATCTAGAAAAGGTTAGAACACCAGCAGCACGGTTCTGAAGCTTATGTAGCCTGTCAATAAAGTTTTCCACAATTATCCCAGACAATATTACAATAATCGAATTGAGATTCAATGAGAGCGTTGTCTATACAATGCAGAGTAGGCGTTGGAACAAAATCTCCAATTCTTTTAATTGCTTCTATCCCGGAAGCGATCTTTTAAGATAAGTTATCGATGTGCTTTTTTGCCACCGTAGATTTTCATCGATAAATATTCCAAGCAATTTTTACAGAGGTAACTTTTCCTATCGGAACATTATCAATCGAGAGTTCGGGTTGGCTCGACAAAGTACTCAATTTTTGTCTTGATCCAATTAGCGTATATTCAGTTTAAAAAATCCATTTGTTTAGATTAACTAAATCGTGATTCCAATTTAACTGTATTGAATTCACATCAACATCTGTATAAGTGATGTGTGTGTCATCAGCATACATCCTAGCTATAGGCTGGCATGAAGTTAGGCAGTTTGGCAAATCGTTGATGTAAGTAAGAAATAAAAGCGGACCAAGAATTATTCCCCGAGGTACCCCGCATTTAAATGACAAATTCTAGAAAGGGAACCATTAACGAGACATAGCACAGCATTAACATTACCTCGATCGATATTAAAAGCCCAGTTATCAATAGCTTCAAGGAGAGCAGTTACAGTTGAGTTTAAAGAGCTGGGCATGAGCCGTTGGAAGTAGACGCACATTTGAAAGCTCCGCAAACCCGGCTTTGAGAAATCAACACAACACAGTGAATATTGCCGTTCTTGTACGTTTTTCATTGTACTAACAGCTACCAACATGGGAAACAAAGATTTAGATAAAAAACGACCGAGGATAAGCAGCTCTGGCACCGACACGGAATCCATCGAAGCAGCCCAAGATGGCGCCTACATCAAAATGACGCTAACAGAAGGTTCAGCGGTGAAAAAATCGTCCAAAATGTGGAGCACGTGCTGTAGGCCGTAACTGGTTTGTAAGATCCATTCCAGGGCGTCCGAAAATTGACTGAATAAAAAGGGGGTGCTCCTGAGACCGAAAGGTAGGTAAAGATCTACATAATACTGAGATTGCCAGTAAATCCCCATCAGGTGCCAGTCATCTGGGTGAATTGGAATAACGCGGAGTGCAGGAACCCGGACACGGGGACAAAACGATGCAAATAGCATCATCTACCCTAACATATTGAAGTGCATAAGGCTGCTTAGGTATATAATCATTAATACTGTCCCCCTCCGGATAAGATAAATGGTAAATGGTGCGCCAATCTGAGGAATGTTTTTTAGGGATCACGCCCAATGGATGGCACTGCATATGTGATAGGAGAGGGGAAGGGAAAGGCCCGGCGACCCGGCCCAACGAGATCTGCATGGTAAGGTTAGAAGAGACCACCTCAGGGTGCTGAACCGCGGAGATTAAGTTACGGGAGACTCGATATTTTTCCGGACCAGTGTACCCAACGTGTGTGCCAAAGAGTAACGCGTTCATTAAACTATTACTAAAATCACGGTTAAGATGGTGGGAAAGTTCCCTTTCCAAAAAAGCTACATTAATAGGGGTGGATACGGGGGGGGGGGAAATGTTTCTTGCGAGTAGCCTCACTTTATCGTTTGCCACAGTCGCGGGAGCTGGAACTCCGGTGGGGCTTTGATCTGTCCTTTGAGATACTGGCGGGCCCGGCTGTAGATAGAGTGGTTGGCGGAACGTCAGTGGCGGCACAGGTACGGGAAGGGACAGGAACGTGCGGTACAGCCACTTGATCGGTTGAACTTGAAGCACACGGGTCCTTTAGGCTGGAGACGCGAGTGGTCGGCTGACGGACACTCACTCTGTTTGGGGTATGGGCCAGTAAGATTTTGTCTTCCAAACTCCTGTCTAACGGACGATGCAAGACCAGGGGAGTTGCTGTTCCGGCTCGCCGAGGCTGTGTGCCACTGTAAGGAGGTGTGGCGCCCATGAAAGGGGGATTCCCTGAGATGGAAAAACTCTTAAGCGCGTGATCCACAGAGGATTGCACCGTGCTCTCTATGGTGGCTAGCTGAGCAGGGGTAAAGGAATTTCCTGTGTTATGCTTTGCCTCCTCGAAGTCCTCCACCAAAGGATCATCAAGGCCGGAGTAGGTCTCCATTGGCTCTTCCTCGGAGTCTTCACCCGATAAAACAGCCTTAGGGGCTTGAACGGTCGCAGGTTCCGGCTGCTCATGGCGTGCAGATGTGGCTCGCCTTGTGGAACGGGTACTGGTGTTAGCCCTAGCTAAGGCTTGGGTTTTGGATGGCCAAGATGTAATACCTTTCCAAGGATGTGTCGCGGCTTTGAACCGGCGGACTAAAACAGCTTTGCTTCCAGTAATGGGAAGATTTAGCGCCTGTAAGCGGAGGCGAAGGACCTCTTCAGAAAGGGACGTGAGGTTCTCCGAACCACGAGATTTGCGAGGCTTCGACGACGCACGTGCACGAGCCATCAAAAAGTGACAATATTCACTAGTAAACTGTTCAGTAAGAAGGAAAGCTAAGCGAATGATGAATTTTGCTTAAAATAATCTTTTCATAGCTAGACATACGTCTAAAGCTAAGCCAATGGACGATGGCGTGCAATAGTGTTGCAGGGACACACGTTGCGTACAACGAGACATGAATAGAGGTATTTATTGAATCTTGCCGAACAGAACGAATGTTACAAACGTACTAGACAGTGCTTCATTCATGTCTCGTTGTATGGCACGAGTTGCTCCGCTCATAACAATAACAATCCCCGGGAGCTCTAACGCGTCACGCTCCATTAACTGCTATTTACTGTTTCACCGTAAATCTTTATGTAAGGGAAAGTCTTGCTTCGTGGTTCGTTTTATTTGAAACTCGAAGCCAGCTTAAAAAGCAAACACAAAGAAAACAAGGTTTACCGAAATATTTTGGTCACACTACTTGCTGACTTGAATAAAAAGCGCTGTTTTGTACATGTTTTATTGAAGTTTTAATCATGTTTTGATCGTCCGTAACGATTTGTACTGCATGGTTAGGTGGAGCTCTTTCTCTTTTTTTTTTTCCTTTTCGTGGNTTTTATTGAAGTTTTAATCATGTTTTGATCGTCCGTAACGATTTGTACTGCATGGTTAGGTGGAGCTCTTTCTCTTTTTTTTTTTCCTTTTCGTGGAGTAAGTGCCAGAGTGCCGCGTGAACGGGACTGTGTTATTTGCGCCTGGGGTTTACACATTCTTCATCCTCAGGGACAGAAAGCACATAAGAGTTATCGCTTATTCTACAGAAAGAGTCTTTCAATTATCTTATCTAAAATAAATCAGGGGCACCCAACGTCAATTTTCGGAAAATATCTGTTCGGAAGACGGTTTGAGATCTAGAATTTTCGGAACATTTGTTGTAAAATTTCTTGCTTGCCCGCCTCTCCTAGGATTTTCGAACATCCAAAAAATGGTATAATTGCCCATTTTTAACGGATTTTTACGCTAAAAAGGTCAGCTAGAATTTTCGGGAGCCTTTTTTCTTGCTGAAATTTTCGAAAAGGTAAGTTTTGATCATTATAATTTTCGGATCACTAGACTTTCAGCTAGGAAATCCGAACAGATGAAACATTCTTAGGGGCTAAAACTATGCCCATATCTACCGTTTAAATACTAAAATACGTATTATCACTATGTTTAAGTGGTTTTGAACTATATTCTCGTTGGGTGCCCCTACTAAATTTTTGTAACGTTTATAATTTATAGTTTAGTGCACATTTAGCCGTGAATACACAACACCCGCTGTTCAGTTTGTGTAGACTGCAAAATAAGTTATTCATAGGATAAAATGATACCGTCTTAGGTCTTTTCTCCAGAAGAAACAAACGTTATGACTTTCAGTAACGATTACTATCAGATATTTGTGATGTATAATTTAAAGGGTAATTTACACTTGACGGTTTAAAGATCCGATTTTGCAAGGAAGACATACGGTAAACACGAAAACCAGCCCGATTTAGCATTTAGATAGATTCCTTTAAGTTTGTTGCACGCAAAGATTTTGTGAACAAAACCAGATTGAATAAAAAATGAAATTTGGAGGCTAATCGTGATCAACAGCTTCTCAAAAGGGTGTGATTGTGGTGGGGTGGGGGGCTCGGTGATGCGGTCTATATGACAAGAATGGTTTTCCAAATATAAAATAGAATAAGAATAGAATCATTCTTTATTTAAACACGGTAAAATTCATCAGGAATATAAAAAAATTGAAATAAACCTAACTACCCTAAACAATATGCAAAACTGTCGACAACTAACCTAACAAAGACCTGTTTTTCATGAATGCCGTGTATACAGCACTTTAAAAATCAGACATTTAGATGAGCCAATCGTTTAAATTGACTTAAAGATTTAGCCTCTCTCATATCACGGGGAAGACTGTTCCAAAGAACTGCTCCGCTATAACTGAATCTGTTCTTCATGAAGTTAGTTCGCGGGAACGGGACAATTACTTCCCTAAGGGAGTATCGCGTTTCATATCGTTTAACAAATTTAGGGGATAAATATCCTGGAACAAGATCGTTTAAAGACTTGTAAACCATTAGGGCTTTTTGCTTTTGAAACTGAGTGCTCAAGTCTTTCCAATTTAGTTTTCTAAATAAGCGGTTGGCATCAGCATCATATCTAGAAAAGGTTAGAACACGAGCAGCACGGTTCTGAAGCTTGTGTAGCCTGTCAATAAAGTTTCCACAATTATCCCAGACAATATTACAATAATCGAATTGAGATTGAATGAGAGCGTTGTCTATACCATGCAGAGTAGGCGTTGGAACAAAATCTCCAATTCTTTTAATTGCTTGTATCCCGAAAGCGATCTTTTAAGATAAGTTGTCGATGTGCTTTTTTGCCACCGTAGATTTTCATCAATAAATATTCCAAGCGATTTTACAGAGGTAACTTTTTCTATCGGAACATTATCAATCGAGAGTTCGGGGTGGCTCGACAAAGTACTCAATTTTTGTCTTGATCCAATTAGCATATATTCAGTTTTAAAAATCCATTTGTTTAGATTACCTAAATCGTGATTCCAATTTAACTGTATTGAATTCACATCAACTTCTGTATAAGTGATGTGTGTGTCATCAGCATACATCCTAGGCTGGCATGAAGTTAGGCAGTTTGGCAAATCGTTGATGTAAGTAAGAAATAAAAGCCGACCAAGAATTGTGCCCTGAGGTACCCCGCATTTAAATGACAAATTCTAGAAAGGGAACCAGTAACGAGACATAGCAAAGCATTAACATTACCTCGATCGATATTAAAAGCCCAGTTATCAATAGCTTCAAGGAGAGCAGTTACAGTTGAGTGTAAAGAGCGAAAAAGCCCGATAGAAATGATATCTTCATTGCTCAAAACATTATATAGTCGGTCATAAGCAATCCTTTCGAAAACTTTAGCTATAACGGAAATGACTAAAATAGGTCGATAATTATTTAGATCTCAAGCATATTACCGTGGTCGAATTTGATTTATAATTGAAGATCGTAAATAAGCAATGCGTTGTAAAGGTTTTTGTATGCCTGCAAACTCCTGCAAACTCGACTGTTCGCCGTACCCCCGGGGGTACTTATAAGAGACTAATGGGGATGTGCCGCTGGATGGGGTCGCATATTCACGATTGGACTGACTATAATGGGCTCGCATTTTCAATGGAGTTACTAGAATGGGGTCGCACATTTTCGGATTACTTGGGGTAAGACACTTCTTCACATTTACGGTTAGAAAACGTACCAGAGTGTTTGTACTGTAGATGAAAAGTAACGTGTTCTTCATTCAACCTAAAAAGTGGGTCAACTCATAAAAATTGAAAGTGACTAAGTTGGGATAGCGAAAATTACATATTTGCCCAAAAGTGACTAAGATGGGGTCTATAATTGACCACAGAAAAGGCTATAATGGGGCAGGGGCTCTCAGAGGCCAGCAGCACATACCCAGCAAAAATTAACCCAAGTACTCCCCCTCCGGGGGACCATACCTGTCTGGCTCATGCAGGAGAGCATTCTTCGAGAAGAGTTGTCAGTGGAAATGGGGCCCCTAAACCCGAAGGAATCCTATAATTTATCAGGTTAGCAAAACAAAAGAAAACAAAACGAAAATGCATCACTTTCGAAACTGCAACTTTCTTCATAACGATTTTGTTGATAATATAACTCACGTATTCTCCATAACTAATTCTAATTCTAATTCTAATTCTCCTTTGTATAAGAAAATCACAAAAGTAGCGCGATGGATTCTGGCCTACAATTGGGCACAAAAATATTTTTTTGCCCAATCAGAGACAAGAATTCGAATGAGTTGCAGAACTGCTTCGTTAAGTGTAGCATTCCAGGGCTTCTCTCGCCCGTTTTTAAAACTTTCGCCGCCGTTTTTCCTGACCCGACTGACCGCCCTTGGGTCTCAGATGATGGGTCACCCCAGAACACCCGGGATGGAGTTGATTTGTATATTGCCCAGGCCTCATTTGCTTGGCCCGCGTTGATCTGGCCCGACCACTTCGTGGAAGCAGTATCGGCCATTTTTGTATTCTTTTCTTCCAGTTTGGTAAAGTCTGCTTGATTATTTTCTCTAGCTGGGAAAGCTTCATCGGTTTCCATATCTAGGGCTGTCCTATTTTGTACGAGCCTAGAGTGTTTACATTGGAGTTCGAATTTCGGGGAAAAAGTGGTGTTAAAAAGGGTAGTGATGGTGGCTGAGATGTCATTTCTTGCCATCCACCCTTTTTATTTGTCTATTATGTTGTATGGAGGGTGAATTTGAGCAAATTATCACGAAACTTCGTGTGAGCATTAAGGACAACAACTAACTACGGAGTAAGTTTCATTGACTTTTATTTGGCATTTCCTACAAATTTTAGGATAGTATTTTCACCCCTTACAAACACTTTAATTTTACTGCTATCGTACTGTGGTACTATCACAGAGCCTGAGTTACCTGTGTTTTAATCGTATTAAAGGAGGATATTGCCATCTTCCCAGTGTGCCTGTTTCGGGAAAATTGTTTTCGGTCTGTGTTATGAAAA